AGCCAAATTTAGAAACAGTCTAGGCTAGTTTCAATGAGGTTGTAGTTGAAATATAATGTTCATCTGCTTAGTTTTCTATAACCAAGGATTTTTAATCCTTGGATTTCCTCTAGCCACTCTTAAACCAAAATGATAGTATAATTTATGACTTTACTAAACAAAACTTTTGCTGTATTTCAGTTTATTCCATAAATTTAAAGTAGATGGATCAAACAGCAATAGAGCTCTCTGTATAAAATACAGTTTTTTTTTTTCCTTTAAGCAGGCAAGTATCGTTTTCCACCAAAGCATTCTATAATATGCAAACTAACATCCTATGGTATGAAAATCGAATTAACTATTTCAAAATATAAACGTTATTAGTATGTCTCTTCTGCAAGCAAAGTCCTCAGGAATACAGAGTTTGCCAGCTGTCCAGAGTTCCACCATCAGGGATGTACTTAACTCTGCAACCATCAGGGATGAAGCACTTTGCCGTGACCTTGTTTTCAAATTCATCTGCGTTGAACTTGGTAAAGTCCCACTTCTTGTCATCCACCTTTGCCTCCTTCTGACCCAGATCAAAGATGCGAATCTTCACGTGGGATCCCTCTGGAGAAGTGCAATTTGGGGTACAGCTGGTTCTTACAGTATGGGAATCAGCGAGCCAGGCAATGACCCATGGTGACAGCAGAAACTCCCTTGGCTCTTAGATGTTGGCAGCAGCAAGCTCTCACCTAGAGTTGTAGCACTAAGAATGACTGGATTTTGGTTAATATACTTTCAGTGCATTCTTTATCATCTCTGTATTGAAATTCAAATTATTTCAATTTGGAAATTATCTTATTTTCAGATTTATGTTGTTGTCTTTTGGAGAAAAGGTATCTCTGTAGCCCCAGCTGGCCTGGAACTTGATAAGTAGACCAGTCTGGCTTCCACCTGCCTCTGTCTCTGGAGTGCTGTCACTAAAGGCTTGGGCCAGCAAGCCCTGCCAATGTTCAGATGTTAATAAGGTTTCCTTGTTTCCTTATCATTTACACAGTTAATCCTTTCCCCACTTTAGCTATTTAAGAATAATAGCAACAAATTACTTTTTTTTCTTTTTTTCATTATAGATTAAAATCTTGTTTTCATCTAGAGATGATTAAATAAATTAATATTATTAACATGCATCACTGGGCAGTTTGGGTCTTACTTGTTACTTTTGATACATGAGTTCGATATTCTATCTCTGCTCGTGATTTTCTCTACTAAATGACTACACATCTCTTTGAAATGCCAATGTTCCATGATCCCATTCCTTTAGCACTGACTATTAAATACAAGCCAATTTACTGTTGCAAATACAATGCATTTAACCTTTTTTGTCAATATCTTATATTAACTTTGTAAAGTTAAATCAGAAAATTTTGAATATTTTGCATTATACACATATGTATGTAATACACACACACACACACACACACACACACACACACACACACAACAGGACTGTGAAAGTAAAGTAGAATGACATTTTATCTTCAAACCACAAAGATCCTAAATACAAATTACATAGAAATCCATTAACATCTTGGTTCTAATTTTACCATTTTTCCTACCTTGAACATACACTGGCTGGAAAGATGGCTCAGAGGTTAAGAACACTGGCTGTTCTTGTGAAGACACTATTTCAAATCTGAGCACCCACACGGCTGCTAACAACTATCTGTAATTCCAGTTTCAGGGGATCTGATGGCCTTTCTGTCCTCTGACGGTATTGCAAGACATGGGTGTACTTATATACATGCAAGTAATACATGCATACACAGGAAATAAAAATAATAGATAAGACTTTTTAAAGATGAACATGTCCTAATGTTCAGGCACTGTAAGTGCTTTTTCAGGGGCTTCCAGAGCCAAAACATTTCCCTCTGGCTTCCCTAGCCACCCCCTAGAAGCTCCATTCATGTCTCCTCTCTCTCCCCCATCTAACCTTCCTCTCCCTCCCCAGTCCAAGCACCCATTATCCCCAGCCTCCCCCAATAACACCAGCCTCCCACCATCTCCCTTCTCCTGAGTTCTGTCGTCCCCACCACCATGGACCCCTGCATGTTCCTCTGTCCTCTCCTACCTGCTGAACACTTCCACTTTCCCTACCTCCCTCTTCTTAACATCTGTTCCCTAATATCCCCCTCTTTGGGGCTCTTTCACACTCTTAATCTCTGTGTTTCCTTTCCATTTTCCTGGCTCCTGGTATTGTATCAGAAACATCAATGCATATGTATAGCTGGGGGCTGTATGGCAAAGAGTACAGAGGCAGAAAAGAAAGACCTCCCTTCCCATGGTTGATGAGAGTGGTCCAAGAAGCTCCCAAAATAGCACAGGCTATTGCAGAGCTCTTGATTATCTCCCAGACTGGAAGATAAAACCTTACTGCTAAAGACAGGATATACTCGGACACAGGACTTGGAGCAATGGAACTGACCTGGTAGGCTTCTACCTGACGTTTAACTCTTATAATTCTGGAGGATACTACATAAAATGATAAGGGAAAAAAAATCAATCAGTGGGCCAATACCGTTCTGAGTCCTAATAACTATAATGACCACCAGAGCAAACTACCCCTATTGGTACAGTAATGGCACTGTTATCTTGGGGGTAATCAACAGCTATCTAGTTGGATTTAAATCTCTCTGAATGGGTATAAACTCATGGGTGACACTGTAAACACAGCCAAATACATATGACTAGAGGGTCATAGATCTAGAGAAAACCCTACCTTTCATAACTCTAGGCAAATGAAATTTCTTACCATACACTAAAAATATGAATCCTTATATTTACAGACAGGTATACCATTCACCACTTATCAAAGAAGCTTCTTTTAGCAACAGATGGAGGCTACAGCAGAGTTCCACAACTGGTCACACACAGAGACTATATGTCTGAGATATGCCCAGTCCTAGGTGTCATATCCACAGTGGAAACTCTATACCCAAGGCTCATGGAACATAGTGGAAGAGGGGGTAGAGAGAAAAGTAGTGCATCTCTCAACTCTCATCAGTGAAGCTTCCTTATACAAGAGTGCTAGGCACACAGAAGGCCATAATTGGCCAAGTTTTAAAGAATAAGAGATTGTAGAGTGTGTGTCTCTGGATAGGACTCCTATATTAAACCTCACATACCCTATGCAGAAGATTGTAAGACCTGGGTTTGGTCCATTCCCTGGATAGGGCTCCTATATTAAACCTCACCTACCCTACTGCAGAAAATTGTAAGAGCCAGGGTTGGTCCATGAAAATAGGAAAATAGAGACTTTTAGACACTGGAAGCTTGCACATGTGAACCTTTGGCATGGTGGCATTGAGCACAAGATCCTTGCCAACTCAATCAGACAATGATCCAGAGTAGAGCAAGGGGAATGAGTGGTGGGTGGGCCCCAGCCTGGGAAACATCAGATTCTTATTACTACTGGGTGAGGGAGAGTAGACCTTCCTCAGGTCATCTAGACAGGCTGATGAAACTCCAGTGGATGAATTTGCACCAAAGGACATCTGGGTACAAATACTTTACTAGATAGCAGTTAACATGCATGGTGGAATGCATGAGGTCTGGTGGGATGGGGAGTGAGGCCATGGATGAGGGAAGGGGTCTAAATTTAATTAAGAACTATTGTATGAAATGTACAAAAGCTCAGTAAAATCTTTTAAACAGTAACATTTATTCCTTGGAATTTCACTACCTATTACTCTTTAGAACACATGAATTTATATAAGGATATTTATCTTTTTTCTTCTCCATGACTCTTTATTACAGAAAAGTTCATTATTTGAGAGAATCAGACAAAGGTTTATTCTTTTTCAGTGTAGTTGGGAGGTTAGTTGAAGTTGGGAAAGATTTTTCTTAACAAAATAATCTCAGCAGTTAAGGGTCTTTCTGTTCAGAGAACAGATTTACTGAAGAAAATAGAGCTCATAGACCAGACCTAAAATCACATACAACCAACATACAGAATATGACTAGACAGTGGTCAATGCAAAATGGAACAATAATTTGTGATTTTTTTATCTGATTTTTGTCTTTTTCTGTATAGCTTTATTTGCTGTATTTCCCCTGCATTCTTCATGGTTTAGTTCAATTTATCATCTCTGATAAATGTAAGATAACAGCATGCTAGAGAATGTGGACCCATTTATGAGGACTAGAGA